ACCTGGCTGTTAAACCAGAAGGTTGGTGGTTTGTGCCCACCCAGCGACAGGATTCCTTTCATTGCATTGGACTGGAAGGCCCTTGGGGGTCCCTTCCAACGCTACAGTTCTCTGATTAAACGTTTGAAGGAGCAAATTCACATGAGGATGAAAGTGTGGGGAAGATAATGGATTGGTAGTGTTGGCTAAGAGAGGGCAGGATCTGCATTGCCAAGTAGGACGGTTCAGTCCCCAAGTGAGGCTGGGAATGTCCCCTGTCTGAAATTCTGGAGAGCCTCTGTCAGTGGCTGCAGGCAAAAACTGAGCAATGGTATGACCTAGTTGTAAGGTAGTTTCTTAGCAAAGGTTGTGGTTAAAAGGGTGTCATGGAGTTCATTTGTAGAGGTGTAGAGAGATGTGTGAGAGGCCCGGTATAGCCCTCTGGGAAGGGTGGCTCAGATTGAAGAGGGAGTGGTGTTAAAAGAGAGCTGGATAGATGGGTACCTTGCAGGGATGGGGTTAGAAGGTAACACAGTGGGGAGTGCTGAGAATTAAGGTAATGTAACGCTTAAACCAGCAAGTCTTTTATGTAAGTTGCAAGAGGACGTGAAAAATGTACAGGAACAGATAACCTAAGAGCAAATGACTAGGATCCACTGGGAGGCTGGCTTGAAATGTACTGTCTACTTTCTCGTTTCTCCATTCTTCCTTTGGCAGAGGGGAGAGGGAGTTTATTTTAATTTTAAGATGGATTTACTGCCTTTCTACTCTCTTAACAGGCCACCAGGACATTTTGCATTAATGCTGTATCTATTTTACAGTTTTAACAGCCGGCAGTAGTGAAGCCAAAAGAATAGCATTGATGAGAGCAACCAGATAAGGCACACACAGTTGCACCCTGCTCTACCTTTTGGAACAGAAGGGCTTTCTTAACAGTGTAATTTCACACATTCTTCCTTAGAGGTGTGTCTCACCCAGTGTTAGAAACTAGCCAAGCGCCAGGTGTGTTTTGTGACTGGCATGAGTCCAATTGCGACCACATGGAGGTCTCTGGGTGCCAGGTTGGCAGCTGGGGAAAGCAACATGTGCCTTAAGAGAAGGCTCTGAAATATTTTCCTTGAGGCTTGTTGTATTTTGGATGGTTTTATTTGATGTTTTACTGTGTCGTCAACCACTTTAAGATTTGTTCTGTAAAATATAAAGCGGTATAGAAATGAAATTAACAACAACAACAAATAACTTGATCGTAAAAGGAAAAAAAGTGACTAGACATTCCATTATGGCAACCGTAACCTAGGTTTAAGGTGCCATTTGGTGATTAGAGTCTATATCGAGTTTCTGACACTGGTCCCTCTGTGTTTAGTGGTGTTTGCTCTGAGGACATGGTTCAGTGGTAGAGCACATGCTTTGTATGTTGAGTATCCTGGGTACTACACCTGATCTTTCCAGGTAGGAAATATTACCATGGAGAGCTTCTGCCAGTTGATGTAGAATACCTTGTAGAGCCTTATTTTATTTGTTTATTATTTCTTAAATTTCTATACCACCCTTCATCCAAGGAGCAAAGGGCAGTTAAAAGGCCATAGGTGGTTTAATTTATCAAAGGCCTGGAAGAAAAGGACTCTTTTTGTCTAGTGCCTAAAGATACGTAATGAAGGTGAGCTTCCCTAGGAAGAGCATTCCACAAATGGGGAGCCACTGCCGCCCCCTTTTGTGGAGGGGTCACGTGACGAAGGGCCTCAGATGGTGGTCACAGGGTCTGCTCCCATCATACCTGACCATTAGCCATGCTGACTAAGCTTGATGGAAGTTGGAGTCCAGCAAGATCTGGAGGGCCACAGGTTCCCAGCCCTGGGGTTGTATTAGCTAGATCAGGCATAGGCAACCTCAGCCCTCCAGATGTTTTGGGGCTACAATTCCCATCATCCCTGACCACTGGTCCTGTTTGCAAGGGATGATGGGAGTTGTAGTCCCAAAAACATCTAGAGCAGTGTTTCCCAACCTTGGGCCTCCAGCTGTTTTTGAACTACAATTCCCATCATCCCTGACCACTGGTCTTGCTAGCTAGGGATGATGGGAGTTGTAGTCCAAAAACAGCTGGAGGCCCAAGGTTGGGAAACACTGATCTAGAGGGCCGAGGTTGCCTATGCCTGATTTAGATGGACCTGTGGCCTAGCTCAGTGTAAGATAGCTTCGTACGTTCTTAGGATTTCAGTTTCTTTTTCTTCCTTTTTTTAAAGAAGCGTACTAGAGTAAGTTGGCGGAATGAGCGACCTTAGGGAGAAGGGCACAGTAATAGAAAAGGCCTTGCTTTTCATCTGCTATAACTTGTCATTGGGAAACAGTTCAGGACTTCTCTGTAGACCAATGGTGTCAAACCTTATGGAACATTGCATTGTAAACATTACTCGTCCATTTAAACTGCTTAGGGGTCAAGGCTTGCTGGGCTCCGTTTATATCATCTGGTACATCTTTATTGAACATCTATCAAATAACATCCTTACAGTACATCGAGAGTATGTTGGTAGATATGGATGATGTTAACTTCTGGCTTTGGACCTTTGGACTTTCTGTTGGTAATGATGTCTTTTGTGCGTATCTTAAAAGGTCTTGGACAGTGAAAAAGATCTCACTCGTAGTATGTTTTTACCTGGTTAAACTTTTGCATTTTTTGTTTTATTGTGATATGGCAGGCATTTAATCACAATGAAAATGAAGGAAAAGCCCTGCTTTTCATAACTTACAGCTACCCTGATAACTTACAGCTAACCTGATAACTGATAACCAAAGGGCCGGATTAGGCGCCCAAAACAAACTTTGGACTGCCTGGTCTATATAATTCCTACTGTGGGGCGTATGGGGTGTTAGGGGAAGGGGTAGTACCTCTGGGTAGTGCTCCTTCTGGGGTCTTTTATCCACCTTTGGTCCTCACTCTGTACTCAGCTGTTACCTGCAGCTCCTCGAAGCTGTCAGCAGGCAACAGCAGCCACAGTCCCGAGAAATGGCTTCATTGTTGTTTAGTCATGTCCGACTCTTCATGACCCCCTGGACCGGAGCACACCAGGCACTCCTGTCTTTCACTGTCTCCCGCAATTTGGTCAAACTCATGATGGTAGCTTCAAGAACACTGTCCAGCTATCTCATCCTCTGTCGTCCCCTTCTCCTTCTGCCCTCCATCTTTCCCAACATCAGGGTCTTTTCCAGGGAGTCTTCTCTTCTCATGAGGTGGCCAAAGTATTGGAACCTCAGCTTCAGGATCTGTCCTTCCAGTGAGCACTCAGGGCTGATTTCCCTAAGAATGGATATGATCTTCTTGCAGTCCATGGGACTCTCAAGAGTCTCCTCCAGCACCATAATTCAAAAGCACCCATTCTTCGGCAATCAGCCTTCTTTATGGTCCAGCTCTCACTTCCATACATCACTACTGGGAAAACCATAGCTTTAACTATATGGACCATTGTTGGCAAGGTGATGTCTCTGCTTTTTAAGATGCTGTCTAGGTTTGTCATTGCCCTTCTCCCGAGAAGCAGGCGTCTTTTAATTTCATGGCTGCTGTCACCATCTGCAGTGATCATGGAGCCCATGAAAGTAAAATCTCTCACTGCCTCCATTTCTTCCCCTTCTATTTGCCAGGAGGTGATGGGACCAGTGGCCATGATCTTCGTTTTTTTGATGTTGAGCTTCAGACCATATTTTGCACTCTCCTCTTTTACCCTCATTAAGAGGTTTTTTAATTCCTCCTCACTTTTTGCCATCCAAGTTGTGTCATCTGCATATCTGAGGTTGTTGATATTTCTTCCGGCAATCTTCATTCCGGCTTGGGATTCATCCAGTCCAGCCTTTCGCATGATGAAATGGGAATGGGGTAGAGGAAGTAAAAAAGTGAGTTGAAGGCAAGGGGCATACCACAGAGGTAGAGCATCTCTGACTTGCATGCAGAAGGTCCTGGGTTCAGGCTTCAGGTCGGGCTGAAATCCTATGCTTCTGCTAAAAGTCAGGACAATACTGAGCCAGATAGACCAATAGTCTGACTCAGTACAAGGTAGCTTTATAGGTTCCTAAGAGAGGATTATGTGGGAAATGCTTGTCTAGAGAGCTGTCATGAGTGTGATGAAGGGTTAGCTTTGGCAGAGGGGCTGGGTACACTGAAGAGGGTTGCCTTGGAGCGAGAATCGTTTCCAGGGATCCAAATGTAGGCTTTGCATTCCGACTTCAGAGAATCAGATTTTCTGGGGGAGGCAGTTGGTGTAGAAAGTGAGATCTGATCAGGAAGCCCAGGCAATGGAGTTGAGGGCTGCTTCTTAGGAAGAATAAATTTGACCTGTGCAGAAGAACTGCTGCTGCTGTGGGAATTTCAGAATGCACCCTTAATGCACAAAAGACACAAGGAGGGTGTGGGCAGTTGGGCAAGAAAAGGGGGGTAAAAGGCGCTCTCTCCAAAGCAGCTTTCCTTCACCACAATACGTAACGTAGGATCGCCTTTACACCTTCATGCCATCGTTAGAGAGTGGGTTGCAACTCAGCACACTTAGCTGGAGAGAGATCGCTGTGTTTCCTTACATGTTGTCTTGCTAGATAAGCCCCTTCAGGAATACTACCAAATAAGTTGACGGTGCTTCAGTTTCCTAGGAGTCAGCACCGAATAGTTAGAAGGCAATCTCACATAGTGAAAATCCCTAGACTCTGGCACCACAGTTTTGAGGGTCGTGACAACGTAAGAGTGATTTGCCATGGTAGTTTATGTGCAGGGCCCAGGGGATTATTATAGCTCAGTTGGTTAGCATGTGGTGCTGATAACGGCAAGGTTGCAGGTTCGATCCCTGTATGGGGCAGCTGCACATTTCTGCATTGCAGGGGGTTGGACTAGATGATCCTCAGGGTCCCTTCCAACTGTCGAAGTTAAGTTAAAAAGATTAATCTATGGCCAGCAAATAGTCTCACTTCTCAGGCTTTGGTAGAAGCAGCGGGACCGACTGGGAATCCTAGGAGACTCAACAGTTCCCCCCCGTCTTTCCTTGAAGAGCACATCTTGTTGACCTCCAGAAGAAACTGGAAGAACTGGAACTGGATGAGCAGCAGAAGAAACGGTTGGAGGCTTTTCTCACCCAGAAGGCCAAAGTTGGAGAGCTGAAAGATGACGATTTCGAGAGGATTTCTGAGCTGGGAGCCGGTAATGGTGGCGTGGTCACCAAAGTACAACACAAGCCGTCAGGGCTAATCATGGCACGGAAGGTGAGAAGGAGGAGGAGGGTGATGTCTCATCCAGTGTGACCAAATGTTTGGGGGCATCTGCAGAGGTGGCAAGAAACAGTTGAGCCATAGCCAGTAAATCTGTGATGAGAATTCTGTGGGGGCGAGCCAAATCTAGCAGGCATGTAGCCTGAGCTGTCACTAGCCACCTCATTTAATGCACCTTGATTTAAGAACAGCTTAGTTTATAAACAACTTGGATTAAGAACGCCTCAGACCCGGAAGTAGGTGTTTTGGTTTGTGAACTTGGCCTTGGAAGCAGAACACGTTGAGTGTGTTCCATTTGTAAACTGAGTCTCCAGCTGCTATGGGAAAGCACGCCTTGGTTTAAGAACACTTTGGTTTAAGAATGGACTTCTGGAACGGATTAAGTTCGTAAACCAAGGTACCACTGTATTAAAGCTTCTGGGCTAGCTTGAAAAAGATTTGAATTTGTATCTTTCTAGGGTCTTTAATCAGTTTGTTTGTTCGCTGTACAGGCCCCCCCATCAGTGGAGCACATATAAGCCTCCCCCCTGCCCCGTTATGCCCCTGTTCTGCCTACTTCTGGGTCCAAAAGGACCCATGTGCCAGCATTTGCGTGTCAATTGGATGCACCTATAATGGTCGCCTCCTGTATATATATTGCATCCCCCCCCCCCAAAAAAAAATGAGCTTGCCTTCCTTAGTTCGCCTTCCTTGAGTTTGTCTTCTCTGCAATCTCATGGAATATGTTTGGCTGAGATAAGAGTGAGTGGCTCACTTCATAGCTGGGTGGGGACTTGAATGCAGACCTGGTCTGACACTTTAATTTGTTGCCCTGTTTACTTTTACACACACACTTGTCTCTAAATTCAGGTAGGTAGCCGTGTTGGTCTGACACAGTTGAAATAAATAAAAAATTTGTCCAGTAGCACCTTAGAGACCAACTAAGTTTGTTCTGGGTATAACATGCACGCGAAAACTCATACCCAGAACAAATTTAGTTGGTCTCTTAAGGTGCCACTGGACAATTTTTTATTTACCTGTCTCTAAAAATTGCCATGGCACGTTTGGTGCAATACAGCCAATACACTTTCCCCCCCATCAGTCCTCCTTCAGTTTGTTGGCTTTCCCCCCGTGGTGAACCATTCCTGAAACAACTTATAGTTTCCCCCTCTTCTTCCCACGGTTGGTCATGTTCAGCTGTCTAAAAAAAAAGGGCTGGAGTTTCTCCTTAAAGTGCCTTTGGGTGGCAATATGGAAGTAGTTTCTGATGCAGCCTTTTATCCCCTTTGTTCCTTCATTCCCCACCCCCTCCCTCTTCTCCCCACAGCTGATTCACCTGGAGATCAAACCTGCCATCCGAAACCAGATAATCCGCGAGCTCCAGGTGCTTCACGAGTGTAACTCTCCATACATTGTGGGTTTCTATGGCGCCTTCTACAGTGATGGGGAGATAAGCATCTGCATGGAGCATATGGTAAATCAGCATAGTTTTTCTCTCCCTCCTTCTTAAGCAAGACACATACCCTGTTCAGCACTAGTCAGAGCATCAACCTCTGACTGTAGCTAATCCTTCCATCTAGGACAGGGGTCTGCAACCCGCGGCTCCGGAGCCGCATGTGGCTCTTTTACACCTTTGCCGCTGCTCCGGGGCGGATACTAGCGAGGGGAGGAGGCGCATTGTGCGCCCCGACACTCCCCACTGTGGCGGGCGCTGTACTGGCTGTGACGTCGCATGGGGGCGGTGCGTGCGTTAGTCACGCACCATCCGACGTCACCTTCCCGCCCACCCGCCACATTGTAAGGGGCATGTACGCTGGTCACTGCATTGAAAGGGGGCATGTACGCTGGTCACTGTTTTGAAGGGGAGTGAAGAACACACACACAAAAAAAGGTAACTTGTTAATTTAACGTTTATTTCTATGAGGAGGAGTAATTCTGAGGGGTCAAACAAAGAAATAATTTTTAAAAAGTGACAAAAAGGTAATTTTTATAATGGCGAGTTTTGCGGCTCCCAGGATTTTTCTTCGGAAATGGGTCCAAGTGGCTCTTTTTGTCTTAAAGGTTGCAGACCCCTGATCTATGCAGAAGCACCATAACGTTCTTGCATTGAATGTGTAGCAATTCTTGTGTTTTCCTCTGAGTGTTTTCCTCTGAGCTGCTTGTTGCCTGCCTGGCACTCCATGTCTTTTTAAAAAATTCCGCTCTTAATTATATAACCCTGAATATGTTCCTAGTGCGGGTGGGGGGGGGGGAATTAAAATCCTAGCTGCCAGCACCATGTTATTTTTCTAGAAGCAAGCCTTGCGCAGAATGAAGAGAATGTCTCTGATTCGCAGACACCAGCAATAACCTTGGGGGGCTAAATAGGGGCCAGTGTGTTTTCCAGTCTTGACTCTTGCTTATACCTGTAACCAGGTTCTTTCGCCATTTGATCAAGCCATATCTCTCCCCTTCCTGCAATAGTCTTGGGAGCCTTGTGGGAGTGGCTATTCACATATGAACCTCCCTGACGCTTAAGGTCAGCTGGGGAGGCCCTAATTCAAGTTCCAGCTTGTTCAGAGACCAGATCAGTTTCTGCAAGAAGTGGCGTCTTCTCAAATTGCCGTTTCAGAGGTTTGGAATGCACTTCTGTGGGCTGTATTTGTGATCTCTCAATAAATTCTGCAGACAAGAGCGAACTTTACCTTGTCAACTTTTTTTGTGTGAACTGTGGTTATGGCCAATATCTTACTTTATGTCAGCTGGTCTCTTTTCCTCTGAGTTTAGGATGGAGGTTCCCTAGATCAGGTTTTGAAAGAAGCCAAGAGAATTCCTGAGGATATCTTGGGGAAAGTCAGCATAGCGGTGAGTATGCTGTTGCCTTCCTCTTAAAAAAAAAAAAAAGCTTGTTTAAAGAAAATAGGCTCAGCTCTGCGGCGTTTGGGAGCCAAAATGTTTGAGAACTAAGCTGTTCAAAAACCAAAGTACAATTGTATTAGCAGCTCAGTTCTGATGAAGTAGAGAAGGATAACAATTCTCTCCCCCCCTTGCTTACAGGGTGTCTAAAAAATAACCAGTTGCCTTCGTACTTCTTCTCTAAATGAAAGGCGTTGCATGAATTCTTTTAACAATAATTAATAACCACTTTTCAGGAACAAAGGTTCATCGAGTTTCTCGGCTGCTCTTCCTTACCTTAAACTGTTGAAACTGATCAGGCAATAAAAGTGAAACTCTTGTGATGGTTTTGAGGGCTCCCTCCTTTAACATGGAAGAGAACTTCCCCAAATTGGGGGGGTGGGGGTAATTGCCTTTATCAAATGTCAGTCCTGCTCAAGATTAGGCCCAATTGATGGACATGACTAATTTGGCTCCATTAATTTCAATGGTGAGTTACAGATAGGTAGCCGTGTTGGTCTGCCATAGTCAAAACAAAAAAATATTCCTTCCAGTAGCACCTTAAAGACCAACTAAGTTAGTTCTTGGTATGAGCTTTCGTGTGCATGCACACTTCTTCAGATACACTGAAACAGAAGTTGCCAGATCCTTCTATATAGTGTCTGAACAAAGACATTGGATTCTTATCTCATTATACATGACAAAGCCATTTTTCACCTTCTCACCCCTTGCTTTTTCCTGTAAGACCTATTGCAGTCGTTAAGAGTCGTCAACAAGCTCATCACAGCCATCTGCCTATCACCCATTCCCACCACCCTTCTGAGTAATACCCCTCCCCACCTTCACACTATATAGAAGGATCTGGCAACTTCTGTTTCAGTGTATCTGAAGAAGTGTGCATGCACACGAAAGCTCATACCAAGAACTAACTTAGTTGGTCTTTAAGGTGCTACTGGAAGGAATATTTTTTTGTTTTTTCAATGGTGAGTGTCAGTCAATCAAGTGGATTAGGCGACCAAATGCAGGTTATAGTCAAAGGAGAACAAAAAATGGGCAATGATGGATGAAAAAGCAGGGCAATTGTTGAGGTGGCAAGACCCAAGCATAGATCTATAGTGGAGGCTCAGAGAAACGTAAGTTCCCATGAAAGGTTCTGGCCCAAACAGAATGAAATGAGGGGGGAGGAATGGGGAAGGAGCAGAAACATCAAATACGTCTGCCCCCCTCAAGTCCCACTCAAAATTTTGGAGTGGGGACCTGAACATAATTGGATCTGGTTATTTCTGGACCAGCCAGTATGGTGAGAGGGAACCAGTCAGTCCATGAAGGAAGAAAAGGTGTTGCAGTCTCCCTTCCTCTTTTGCAATCTGTTGCATTGGCCAACACTTGGCAGCCTTTGTCTTCCTTGATCCAGAAGAGCCTGATTTCCAGCCTGCAAAGCCTTCAGCTTTCCAAATCCTCATGGCGCCCTGACCTTTCCCTTCTCCTCTCTTCTCCTCTCCCCCGCCCCATCACCAGGTTCTGCGAGGATTGGCTTACTTACGAGAAAAGCATCAGATCATGCACAGAGGTTAGTGAGCAGCTGGAGCACAGGGAAAGCTCTGCGAGGGTCTTTTGTGCCGAGGGAACCCAGATTCCACAAGCCCAGTGGACATACGTAGACTTGGTTTCAACGCTTACTGCGTTTCAAGGCGTTGACTTTGCAAACCACTCTGTTTCTGGAGCTCCATTTTGGCTTGAGTCAGACTTGGAAACAACCAAGCAATCACCGTCGTGCCAGAACATGCCAAGGATTCCTTGGTTACATCCCACTTGCTCTCTACGATTAACAGACAGGAGGGTATCTGAATTCCACATGCTGCAGCGAGGCTCCTCCCGGGGTCTTTGCCATGGGAGCATATTCACCCAGTGCTTTTCAAGCTGCACTGACTCCCGGTAGAGTACAGGGTCAGATTTAAGGTGCTGCTTTTGACCTTTAAAGCCCTTCACGGCCTAGGACCCTCATACCTACGGGACCGTCTCACCTAGTATGCCCCACGGAGAGCCTCAAGGTCCATAAATAGCAACAACCTAGTGGTCCCAGGCCCTAAGGAAGTTAGATTGGCTTCAACCAGAGCCAGGGCCTTTTCAACTCTGGCCCCGGTCTGGTGGAACGCTCTGCCTCATGAGACCAGGGCCCTGCAGGATCTGATTTCTTTCCGCAGGGCCTGTAAGACAGAGTTGTTCCACCTGGCCTTTGGCTTGGAGGCAATTTGATTCCCTCCCTCCCTCTCTTTCTTTCGTTTTGCTCCAGCCGTATGTGTGATTCGAACACCGCCAGTACTACCATGAGTGATGGGTTGAGGTACAGTTGCCAGGAGGCCATACTGATTGGCAGTACCTCTCAAAGGCCTCTCTCCCACCCCCAGCCACTTTCCATGCTGAGTTGCTGGGTGTTTATCTTTGAAAAGGCCCTGGTTGCTTTGCAGGACTTCAGTGCTTCCAAAATTCAATCAGACGCAGCCTTCCTAGGTGTGCTGCTGCCCTCCAGGTGTTATCAGACTCCAACTTCCATCAACGCCAGCTAACTTTGCCAATGGACAGAGATGATGGGAGAAGTAGCCTGGCAACATACGGAGAACACCATGTTGGAGAAAATTGCTGAATAGCCATGGTGGCTAGGAAATTGCATTCATTCATTCGTTTTCATTAAAAACAAAAACAGAAAGCTGAATGCTCTGAGGGTATGTAGAACCTTCACTAAGGGCTCCCCATTGCTTGAATTGCACACACTCTGACATTTCCCCTCCTTTCAGTCTTTTCTCTCAAAAATCTATTTTCAGATGTGAAGCCTTCTAACATCCTGGTGAATTCGCGGGGAGAGATTAAGCTCTGTGATTTTGGAGTCAGCGGCCAGCTCATCGACTCCATGGCGAATTCCTTCGTGGGCACTCGCTCCTATATGTCTGTAGGTCCCTTTGCTATGTTTGTTGTGCCACCTTTGGTTGTGTGTGTGTGTGTGTGTTGCATCAGAAGTGGGTGGCTCCTAAGGTGATACATTTGAGCAGCACCCAGTTGGGGGCTTGAAGAACCGGCGGCCCCCACCGGGTGGCATTAGACTCCCATCAGCCCTAGTCCAGCCCAGCCCAGTGGATAGGGATAATAGGAGTCGCAGTCTGAAAACATCTGGATGGCCACTGCTGCTCCATCCGTGATGTGTTGTCTTACAACTGTTAATACTATGCTTACGACTGTTAATACCATGCTGCAGATACTGGGTACATTTTCATTCTCGGGTATCACTTTATTAAATTACCGTATTTTTTGTTCTATTAAGATGCACCAGACCACAAGACGCACCTAGTTTTTGGAGGAGGAAAACAAGAAAAAAAATATTCTGAATCCCAGAAGCCAGAACAGCAAGAGGGATCGCTGCGCAGTGAAAGCAGCAATCCCTCTTGCTGTTCTGGCTTCTGGGATAGCTGCGCAGCCTGCATTCGCTCCATAAGACGCGCACACATTTCCCCTTACTTTTTAGGAGGGAAAAAGTGAGTCTTATAGAGCAAAAAATACCGTATGTACTTAACGTATGAAGTCCTTGGTATGCGCCAAGAAAGTTTGATGACTGTAAAGTTCAACTAATGGGTTTTTTAAAAAAATTAAAAAATGCCCCCCTCCCAAAAAACCCCAAACTCTAATATTTATGTTTTTAAGCTTTTCTCTCCTATCCAAATGGGCTGTGGATTCCCTGGCTATGGGTTTTATTTTCATAAGGACTTTTTGCGAATTGAGAAAGATCTGTGGAAGCCCCGTGGTGTTTATAGTTTGCTGTAGGTGGAGATGATCGAAGTTTGTCAGCTCAAGGCTGTCTAATAAATGGCGGGTAAGTTCATCCGGAATGAATACGATGGTACTAAAACAGAGGTGGTGAAGCAACAGCAAAGTGCGGGTTGGATGGACAGTTGACCCACAGAGGTTCGGTTTCAAGGGTAATATATATGCACGAAAATCGTGTGAACCCAAAATTGTGTTACCATAATTGGAGCCACCCCATGGCTAGCCAGTTTATCTTCTATAAAGCAGATGGTGATGGGGAGGAGAGAAAGAGAATCTTTGGCAGCCCCAGAGCTGCTTGGCATTACAAAAACAGGTATTAAGCTCCTGGCTTTGCTTCCTGCGCTAGGCATGCCATCTCTGTTACTGCTGGGGGTGCTCTCGCGAGATCGCGCAGGATAATCCAACTTCCCACAGGACCCCGCAGGTGCACCCTCACCTTCCCCACATGTCGTTAGAATCACGCAAGTTAAAATACGCTTAGGATGCGGGCATACTGTATTGGCGGGGAGAAGAGAGCCATATTTAAGAACACTTGCCATTGGTTACATTGCAATAAGCAGAAACAACATTCTGCTGAGGAATACAAATAGTACCTCCAGCGTTAGTGATGGACGATGCAAAGTAAGAGGTTCTTCACTGACCACTTAGGGGGTAAAATTAAACATGCTGATCCCAAACTGTAGTACAGTTCCCATTCTTGATATTTGCTTCCGCAAAGGAAAAAGAAGAAAGGAGGTCTGTCTATGATGATGGGTTCCTTATTTGGCTGGTGATCTCTTCTGCCTTTTTACAGGCATTGGAATTCTAAAAGCCCGGGGCCGCCTTAATTCCAAAATTCTCTTTTATTTCTCAAGGTCACCCACTCCTTCATCCGGACTAGGCAACAGGCTGCAAAGTACCATTTCAAGTCAGGCTTGAGGTTGGTTGTTGTTCAAGCCCGAACTAACCCACCTCTCTTGTTTTGACCGCTTGCAGCCTGAGCGCTTACAAGGTACTCACTATTCGGTCCAGTCTGATATCTGGAGCATGGGCCTCTCTCTGGTGGAGCTGTCGATTGGAAGGTATCCCATCCCTCCGCCAGACGCCAAGGAACTGGAAGCGATATTCGGCCGCCCCGTGTTCGATGGGGCAGAAGGGGAATCCCACAGCATCTCACCACGGCCCAGGCCCCCAGGACGCCCTGTTAGCGGTAGGCATTGTATGAGGACAAGGGGGGAGAGGTGTTGTCGACGGTCAAGTTTTAATCACTGGGATTTGTTTCCTAGTTCAGGGTGCAAGAGCGAAACTGGGTCTGATTGCTCTAGGTTAGCGTTGCCAAGTTAATTTGGACCAGACGAAGGAGCCCTGACAGCGGCCTCCCGAAAACCTCTGTGAATGCTCGCAAGAGGTCTTGAGGCAGTTCAGTGTATTGGTTAGAGCAGGTGTGGGGAGCATCTGCCCCTCCCTAGTGTTGCTATATTATTATTATTATTTACTGGATTTATATACAGTGGTACCTCAGGTTACATACGCTTCAGGTTACTTACGCTTCAGGTTAAAGACTCTGCTAACCCAGAAATAGTGCTTCAGGTTAAGAACTTTGCATCAGGATGAGAACAGAAATCGTGCTCTGGTGGCACGGCAGCAGCAGGAGGCCCCATTAGCTAAAGTGGTGCCTCAGGTTAAGAACAGTTTCAGGTTAAGAACGGACCTCTGGAACGAATTAAGTACTTAACCTGAGGTACTACTGTACTGCCCTATACCCAGGGGTCTCCGGGCGGTTCGCAGAATAAAATCAAGGTATAAAACCACAATAATAAAAATAAAAACAACAACCCAATAGCACCCCCTCCCTCAAAAAACACATTTTAAAGGGGCATAGGATGTAAATCGGATCAACCAAGGGCCTGGTTAAAAAGGAATGTTTTTGCCTGGCGCCTAAAGGTGTATAATGAAGGCGCCAGGCGAACTTCCCTGGGGAGAGCATTCCACAGACGGGGAGCCACTGCAGAGAAGGCCCCGTTCTCACGTTGCCACCCTCTGCACCTCTCGAAGAGGAGGCACATGAAGAAGGGCCTCAGAAGATGATCTGGGTAGGTTCATCTGGAAAGAGGCGGTCTTTGAGGTATTGTGGTCCTGAGCCATTTCAGGCTTTATAGGTCAAAACCAGCACTTTGAATTGGGCCCGGAAACTAACCGGTAGCCAGTGCAGTTGGACCAGGATCGGTGTAATATGGTCAAACTCTCTTGCTCCGGTGAGCAACCTGGCCGCTGAATTCTGCACCACCTGAAGTTTCCGAACTGTCTTTAGAGGCAGCCCTATGTATAATGCATTGCAGTAATCTACAGTGGTACCTCACAAGACGAATGCCTCGCAAGACAAAAAACTCGCTAGACGAAAGGGTTTTTTGTTTTTTGAGCTGCTTCGCAAGACGATTTTCCCTATGGGCTTGCTTCGCAAGACGGAAACGTCTTGCAATTTTGTTTCCTTTTTCTTAACACCGTTAATACAGTTGCGACTTGACTTCGAGGAGCAACTCATAGCACGCAGTGTGGTAGCCTTTTTTGAGGTTTTTAAAGACTTTGGTGATTTTTGAAGCTTTTCCAAAACTTTCCCGACACCGTGCTTCGCAAGACGAAAAAAACCGCAAGACGACAAAACTCTCGGAACGAATTAATTTCGTCTTGCGAGGCACCACTGTAGATTGCTATTCCCACCCTGGACTGATGGAAGTTGTAGCAACACCTGGAGGGCAATAAACCTCCAATCAGCCATAAAGGTCACTGGGTGACTTTTGGCCCATCACTATCTTTTATCCTAAACTACGTAAAAGTGGAGGAAGAATGAGATCCTTGAAAGAAAGCCAAAATATAAATGTATTAATGGTAGAGGTAGCTTGCCCCCGTCGCCCCTAATACCTGGTAATAGGAACTCCCTGTCCTCAAGCATAGGGGTTGTATCCAGCTAACTCTTACACAGAGTCGATCTCTTGAAATTAATGGACCTAAATTAGCCATGTCCATTAAAACTGAGTGAATCTGTTCTGAGTAGCCATGAATAGAAGGAATAGGTCTAATTTAAACGTGCCTTGAGGGCTTTTTTAAATAGTCTGCTCCGCTCCCCAAACGGACGCTGCACACAAATATTATAGCAACCACAAATCATAAAAGGGTATAATGTGTGCCGCTTGCGTCAGTAAATTCAGATTTAAAAGATCAAGAGTGATTTAATACTCAAAAGCCGACCACAGTTACCTGTGCCGGAGGGAATTTTGCAGGCCTTCGTGCACAGATCTTAACCACTGGCTAGAGTCACTTCAAAAATTTCCTTTCCTTAATGGTTGTGCAAACAAAGTTGCCAATTAGGCAGCTCTTTAAGTGTAAATGTACTTCGCTTGATTAGCCAGGAGAGAGCTTGGTTTGGGTATGCTTCCAATTGAGACAAACCCATGCAATATAATGCATCTTCATAATCATTATTAATTGGCTTATTTATATGCCACATTCTTCAACAGACCTCTCTCGTGTTTCCTCTTGGCCTTTTCCCTGCCAGCACTTGGGGGGGTGGATTGTATGTCCCTGTCAAGGTAGTATTTTAAGACTCCTGCACAGCGCATCGTTTGTAAGATTTCATCCCAAAGGGTGTGTATGAGAGAGGCTAGGACCACCTCCAATTAGACAAAGAGCGAACGCAATTTGGGTTGCAGCCAAAGCCTTATACAGTGGTACCTCGGGTTACAGACGCTTCAGGTTGCAGACTCCGCTAACCCAGAAATAGTACCTCGGGTTAAGAACTTTGCTTCAGGATGAGAACAGAAATTGCACAGCGGCAGCAGCGGGAGGCCCCATTAGCTAAAGTGGTGTTTCAGGTTAAGAACAGTTTCAGGTTAAGAATGGACCTCCAGAACGAATTAAGTTCTTAACCCGAGGAACCACTGTAGTTCCACTTATGCAGTGCGACTCCACCTTCTTCTCTTTCCCCTGTGCAGCCCCCCGATCCGCTCTGGGGGGGTCCCTCCACCCTGCAGAAAAGATATTGAGAGTGCCAGGTGGCACCCTCCCCCTCCTTCAGGGGAGAGGAGGGGAAAGTTCAATTGCAGAAGACCGCTGTTCCAGAACTGCAGTGTTCAATGCAACCCTCTTATTCCACACCGTCATGGAGTAGGAGAGCTTGGGGGGGGGGGTCATATCTGACAACCAATATGCCTCTTTGGTTTCAGATGGCACAAGGGTAGGTAAAGGTAAAGGGACCCCTGACCATTAGGTCCAGTTGTGACCGACTCTGGGGTTGCGGCGCTCATCTCGCTTTACTAGCCGAGGGAGCCGGCATACAGCTTCCGGGTCATGTGTCCAGCATGACTAAGCTGCTTCTGGCGAACCAGAGCAGCGCCCGGAAACACCGTTTACCTTCCCGCTGGAGCGGTACCTATTGATCTACTTGCACTTTGACGTGCTTTCGAACTGCTAGGTTGGCAGGAGCAGGGACCGAGCAACGGGAGCTCACCCCGTCGCGGGGATTGGAACCGCCAACCTTCTGGTCGGCAAGTCCTAGGCTCTGTGGTTTAACCCACAGCGCCACCCTTCATGGGTAGGTAGATTAGTCTAAAAAAGGGGCCAGCAAGTTTTTTCCGCAGGGGGCTGGTCCACTGTCCCTCAGACCTTGTGGAGGGCTGGACTATTTTTTTAAAAAGCTGAATTCCTGTGCACACTGCGAGGGGGGCAACTAGTCCTCCTCCTCACCCACCCCCAGCCACCTTCTCGGTTTGCCATCTGCCTCATTCACTGAAGGGCTGGCGGTGGTGGCATATCCATTTAGCGTTCTCCCAATTTTCTTACCCCACAGCCCCCAGTACACATCATCTCTCTTACTACACCCTCATCCAGCCAGGCAGCAAAAGCCTTGTGTGCATTGTGACATGTGCTTGGTGACGGGGAGCTGTTAAGTAGCGCAGCTTTCCCAAGTGCGCTGTCCCTAGGAGAAAGCTGTATGGTTTGTGTCCATACATTGCACATACGCACCACCGTTGGGTGGTGTTCAGCCAAGTTTTACTTCGAGCAGACCTGTTGAAATTAATGGGCGTCATGTTCGTTCTTGTCAGTGGGCCGGCTCTGAATAAAACCTAGCAGCTTGGGTGGGGCCAGTTGGTCACACAGCCAGTGTCCAGTGCTTGCTCTGACTCCACTCTCTTGGTTCCTTTTTCTTCATGCAGGCCACGGGATGGACAGTCGACCTGCGATGGCTATCTTCGAATTGCTGGACTACATAGTTAATGAGGTTGGTGGCTTGAAGAGGCTCTGTTAGTTTTTGTGGGTTCTTTCCCTGCATAGTTTTAAAAGGGGTGAGGTGGGGGGACAGAAAGAGTACACAAACACACAGAGCTTAATATTTCAAAGCTCTCTTAAGCCATGAACAGGCAATATATCAATTTTTTAAAAGGTGCAGTGCAAAACCAGCGGAACAGCAGTATCAAAACACACAAAAGTAAATAAAGCTGAAGTTCTGAGGACGCAAAAGCAGAGTCCAGCCTTATAGGTCAGGGGAAAGCCTGTGCGAAAAGGTAAGTCTGCACAAGACGCCTGAAGCAGCTGGCGGTTGCCACCTTGACGTGCGGCAAAGGGAAAGCTATTCCATAGAACGGGGCAGCGGCAGAAAATCCCCGTTTTCGGATCTCCGCCCTCGCAGAATCCAGGGCCTGGTTTAATACCTGGTTTCTCGAGCAAATAAACCCACATGCCTGTCTAGGGAGGCTGGCAAAAGTTGAGGTGTTTGGGACGCGGGTGGCGCTGTGGGTTAAACCACAGAGCCTAGGGCTTGCCGATCAGAAGGTCGGTGGTTCGAATCCCCGCAATGACGGGGTGAGCTCCCGTTGCTCGGTCCCTGCTCCTGCCAACCTAGCAGTTCGAAAGCACGTCAAAGTGCAAGTAGATCAATAGGTACCGCTCTGGCGGGAAGGTAAACGGTGTTTCCGTGTGCTGCTCTGGTTCGCCAGAAGCGGCTTAGTCATGCTGGCCACATGACCCGGAAGCTGTACGCCGGCTCCCTCGGCCAATAAAGCGAGATGAGCGCTGCAACCCCAGAGTCGGCCACAACTGGACCTAATGGTCAGGGGTCCCTTTACGTTTACCTTTAGCAAGCTGCGTGAACTGCTGTCTAAATAATATTGCTTGCTCCCAGCTGTATGTGCATGGGTGGGAGACCCTGTGGCCCCCACGGGGACATTGGATTCCAGCTTCTATCGGACCCAGCCACCACGGCCAATGCCCCGGGGATCAAGGGAGCCATAGGCATCAATGCCTGAAGGGCCACAAGTTCCCCATGCCTGCTGCATGCCTTCCTAACCCTCCCTCCCCTTCCTTTTCCTTTAAAATTTACGTCATGAACAAAGAAGCACCACAACCAGGGTATGAATGCTGCAGATTAAGCCAAACCCATTTTCAGACCTGCCTACCTGCCCAGGGACGCGGGTGGCGATGTGGGTTAAACCACAGGGCCTAGGACTTGCCGATCAGAAGGTCGGCGGTTCGAATCTCCGTGACGGTGTGAGCTCCCGTTGCTCGGTCCCTGCTCCTGCCAACCTAGCAGTTCGAAAGCATGTCATGTGCAAGTAGATAAATAGGTACCACTCCGGCGGGAAGGTAAATGGCGTTTCCGTGTGCTGCTCTGGTTCGCCAGAAGCGGCTTAGTCATGCTGGCCACATGACCCAGAAGCTGTCTGCAGACAAACGCCGGCTCCCTCGGCCTATAGAGCGAGATGAGCACACAACCCCAGAGTCGGTCAGGACTGGACCTAATGGTCAGGGGTCCTTTTACCTTTACCTGCCCCGTTTGGCCTGAGAAGGCTGGCCCATGGAGGCCGAAAGTCCCCTGCAGCATGGGGACAGAGAGCAGGATCAGCCTACAGGTTCACGTTGCACAGCGCAGGGAGAATCCACAATTCACAAGGGCACATGTTGCTGAAATGCAGGAGTTATTTGGGATCTCGAAGAGGCGTGTGGTGTTATGTAAGACTTTGTGGACTAGGGAAAGAGCAGATGGACTTCGGAGACAGTCTGCAGAACAGACAGTACCGGGCATCGGAGTCCCTGCAGAGCTGTGCTCTGCCTCCTACGTTTTCTGGCTCGTCTTTGCAATCTGTGAAGACTAGGTGCTTTTTCCTTCTTGAAGCAGAAGTCAAGATTCTCAGGGTGTTTGTGTCCTCCGGTCAGGGATTGCTGCTTTCGCATCAGTCCTGGGCCACTCTTGTGTTTAATAATACAGTGGTGCCCCGCAAGACGAATGCCTCGCAAGACGAAAAACCCACTAGACAAAAGGGTTTTCCGTTTTTTGATGCGCTTCGCAAGACGAATTTCCCTATGGGCTTGCTTCACAAGACGAAAACGTCTTGCAAGTCTTGCGATTTTTTTCCACTCCCCCCCCCTTTTTCTAAGCCACTAATAGCCTTTTAACCGCTAAGCCTTTAACAGCCGCTAAACCGCTAATAGCGCTAAGCCGCTAATAGGGTTGCTTCGCAAGATGAAAAAACCACTAGACGAAGAGACTCGCGGAACGGATTATTTTCGTCTTGCGAGGCACCACTGTAATAATAATAGGTAAAGGTAAAGGACCCCTGACAGTTAAGTCCAGTCGCAGACGACTCTGGGCTTGCAGCGCTCATCTCGCTTTACAGGCCAAGGGAGCCGGCGTTTGTCTGCAGACTGTTTTTCTAGGTCATGTGGCCAGCCGGAGCGGTACCTATTTATCTACTTGAACTTTCTGGCGTGGTTTCGAACTCCTAGGTTGGCAGGAGCAGGGACCGAGCAACGGGAGCTCACCCCATCGCGGGGATTCGAACTGCCAACCTTATGATCAGCAAGCCCGAGAGGCTCAGTGGTTTAGACCACAGCGCCACCCGCGTTCAACAATAATAATCATAATCATCATAATAATTATAATGAAGATTTTATTATTTATACCCCGCCCATCTGGCTGGGTTTCCCCCAGCCGCTCTGGGCTGCTCCCAACAGAATATTAAAAACACGATAAAACATCAAACATTAAAAACTTCCCTGAACAGGGCTGCTTTCAGATGTCTTCTAAAAGTCTGATAGTTGTTTATTTCCTTGACATCTGGTGGGAAGGTGTTCCCACAACGGGGTGGGCTCCCGTTGCTCGGTCCCTGCTCCTGCCAACCTAGCAGTTCGAAAGCATGCCAAAAAGTTCAAGTAGATAAATAGGTATCACTCCGGCGGGAAGGTAAACGGCGTTTCCGTGCGCTGCTCTGGTTCGCTAGAAGCGGCTTAGTCCTGCTGGCCACATGACCTGGAAGCTGTACGCCGGCTCCCTTGGCCAATAAAGCGAGATGAGCGCCACAACCCCAGAGTCGGCCACGACTGGACCTAATGGTCAGGGGTCCCTTTACCTTTATATATATCTTGTTAAAACTTGGAATTGCACATTTATTTATTTTTTAAAGCTTTAGCATCCAGCACTCAGCACATTACAGTCGCTAAATGGGCAAAATAAATTAAGTGGTTCTCCAAGACGCTCTGCAATATTCAGGTGTGTGTGGGGGGGGGATTTGGCATGCCAGCCCACGCCTGATAATGATTTGACCCATGGAGCCTCTGTATTGCAACCCCTGCCCATCTTTAATTCCCCTCCCCATCCATTGTCTCCCATCACCCGGGCTGCTTTTCTCGGTGGCGTCTACTTTTCCTGGGTTCCGACATGTCTTAACATCTGTGTTCCTTTTCCTCCCCTCTTATCCCCAGCCACCTCCAAAGCTGCCAAACGGGGTTTTCACTCAAGAGTTCCAGGAGTTTGTAAATAAATGGTAAGCATTTGCTTTCATCGGTGTGGGGAGTTCAAACCCCAGTGGGCTGAGAGGGAAAGCGTCTCCTTTTCCAAATGTACACGGCCACAAATGCCGCAGTTCCCCAGGCTTTCCAGGGAGCGAGAGCCAGTCTCCACCAAAGATATTTTCTCCCCTTTACAGTTTTACGCAACAACTTGTTAACTTTTACTGTGCAATTCTATTCATGTAAACTCAGGAGTCTGGGACGCAGGTGGCGCTGTGGGTAAAAGCCTCAGCGCCTAGGGCTTGCCGATCGAAAGGTCGGCGGTTCGAATCCCTGCGGCGGGGTGCGCTCCCGTCGTTCGGTCCCAGCGCCTGCCAACCGAGCAGTTCGAAAGCACCTCCGGGTGCAAGTAGATAAATAGGGACCGCTTACTGGCGGGAAGGTAAACGGCGTTTCCGTGTGCGGCTCTGGCTCGCCAGAGCAGCGATGTCACGCTGGCCACGTGACCCGGAAGTGTCTGCGGACAGCGCTGGCCCCCGGCCTCTTGAGTGAGATGGGCGCACAACCCTAGAGTCTGGCAAGACTGGCCCGTACGGGCAGGGGTACCTTTACCTTTTAAACTCAGGAGTAAGCCCTGCTTAACTCAGAGAAGCTTATTTCCAGGTACATATTTTTTGGAGGGAGGGGTGTAGGATAGAGCCTTCATGACTGGGGTGTCCTCTAGACCAGAGGTCGGCAGCCTAAGGGTGCCACCCCACCCCCCGCCAACATTTTCCCCCTCCCTCACTGTGGCAGAACCTCCTCCGTCCTCCTGGCGCAGCAAATCGCCAGTCAATTGCCTGCTAAGGTTTGAGGCCCGTTCCGGAGCACTATTCGCATCCTGAATAGAACATAAGATGCGCAGGTCACGTTTCGCTACTTCTGCGCATGCACGTGACGTCATTTTGACCATTTGCGCATGCGTGAGTGGCGAAACCCGGAAGTAACACGCTCCATTATTTCCGGGTCGCCGTGGAGTGCAACCTGCAAATACTTATCCTGAAGCATATTTATCCCAAGGACGCGGGTGGCGCTGTGGGTAAAAGCCTCAGCGCCTAGGGCTTGCCGATCGAAAGGTCGGCGGTTCGAATCCCCGTGGCGGGGTGCGCTCCCGCTGCTCGGTCCCAGCGCCTGCCAGCCTAGCAGTTCGAAAGCACCCCCGGGTGCAAGTAGATAAATAGGGACCGCTTACCAGTGGGAAGGTAAACGGCGTTCCGTGTGCAGCTCTGGCTCGCCAGATGCAGCTTTGTCACGCTGGCCACGTGACCCGGAAGCACAACCCTAGAGTCGGACACGACTGGCCCGTACGGGCAGGGGTACCTTTACCTTTACCTTTTATGACTATATATTTTGAGGGTGGGGGTGAGTTAGTGCAGCCAATGGAACTGTACAAGGCTGTTGGCTCTGGACGCACCCAAAGTATGGCAGTGCTGATAAACTAAAGAGTGTGGCCTTCCAAAGGCAAACTTTGCCTTTTCCAAAAAGAAATCTGATTTATTTTTTTCCCTCCTTGTCCCACACAGCTTAATAAAAAACCCTGCTGAACGGGCAGATTTGAAGAAGCTGATGGTAAGTCGATAAGGATTCCATATATGCACAATCAGGGCCGGCCCACCCCTGAGGCAAGGTGGTGCGGCCGCCTCGGGTGGCAGGATCCGCAGGGGCAGCAGACCCGGCCTCCAAGGAACGCTTCACCAGCAGCTGCATCGCCCTGCCTCAGGTGCCAAAACGTCTTGGGCCGGTGCTGCTACGCACGTTGCGTCAAAATGAATTCAGAATCTCAGTCCGGCTCCCAGCAAATGCAAAGTTCTTCAACTGGAATCAGTTAAGCATTTTGCATGTGATTATTACCCCTTTTCATATACCGTATTTTTTGCTCTATAACAGTGTTCCCCAAGCTTGGGCCTCCAGCTGTTTTTGGACTACAACTCCCATCATCCCTCGCTAGCAAGACCAGTGGTCAAGGATGATGGGAATTGTAGTCCGAAAACAGCTGGAGACCCAAGGTTGGGGAACACTGCTCTATAAGACTCACTTTTCCCCTCCTAAAAAGTAAGGGGAAATGTGTGTGCGTCTTATGGAGCGAATGCAGGCTGCGCAGCTATCCCAGAAGCCAGAACAGCAAGAGGGATTGCTGCTTTCACTGCGCAGAGATCCCTCTTGCTGTTCTGGCTTCTGAGATTCAGAATATTTTTCTTCTTGTTTTCCGCCTCCAAAAACTAGGTGCATCTTGTGGTCTGGTGCGTCTTATAGAGCGAAAAATACGGTATTTCTGTTCAGGGCAGAATGGCAAATGGCTGGGCATTGATGGATGGAAGATGCATCTCCATTCCTCCAGCCTCCGAAACAGGTGTGGGGAACCTTTGGCCCACCAGATGTTGCTCCAATCAGCCCCAGGAGGCATGGCCTGCAAACCCTAAGATTCCCCCCCCCCAACGCTGCTCTCAAACTTCACCCAGGCACCGCTCCACAAGCTCTGAAGCTTTATCTTCAACTCCGTCTGGCCTAGAAACTCAACGCATGAAATGGAAACCGAGGTTGCTCCGCGCCTTGCAATATTTAGACGCACACCTTACGATGCCGCAAGTTCGCCTCTGCATTGCCCTGGCATCCTTGGGAGCTGTTTCCCGGGGATGTTGAATTCCTTAATCCGTACCAGATCCCTCAGTTGTCTGTGAAAGGCACTAGAGCAGGGGGGCTGGGGAACCTTTGGCCCTCAAGGCGTTTCCTGGACTACAACTCCCATCACTCCCAAGCTGTTCTAGGGGTGTGGCTGATGGGAAGTGGAGTTCAGCAGCAGCAGCCGGGGCCCCAATTGTCCCCTAGCCCTGCGCTAGGTCATTCTTGCTTCAGGGCAGTGACATTGTCCCACAGTGGACAGTGTGCTCAGGTGGTTCCGACCCCCAGCAGAGCACGTGACTCTGTGCATTCGTTGGATCGCAGTTCTGAGCTACAGTTAAAAGGGGGAGCAGGTTTCATGCCAGCACCATCAGCCTGACTTCCCCTAATTGTTTACTTTACCCCCTCCCCTCCAAAAACAGCAACGCAAAAGCCTGTAGTGCAAATACCCACTAGCTTTTCCCTACCTGTATGCTTGCGATTTGCCTACACCTGAACAACCACCGTATTTTTCGCTCTATAGGACGCACCGGATCATAGGACGCACCTTGTTTTAGAGGGGGAGAGCAGGAAAAAAAATTCTCCCCCTCTCTGCGCAGCGCCCCTTCAGCGAAGCGGCAGGAGAAACGGAGCCCCTTCCATTTCTCCTCCTGCTTCGCTGAAGGGGTGCTGCGCAGAGAGGGAAAACTGTGCGGCGCCTCTCCAGCAAAAGCGAAGCCTAGAGATCAAGAGGGGTTGGTGTGCACCGATCCCTCTCGCTCTCCAGGCTTCAGGCGGCTATCCGCAAGCCTTCGGAGCGTCGCGGAAACTCCCGCTGCGCTCCAAAGGCTTGCGGATAGCTGCCTGAAGCCCCGGAGCGCAGTGGGAATTCCCGCTGTGCTCCGGGGGCTTCAGGCAGCTTCAGCGAAAGCAACGCGAAGCCTCCGGAGCGCGGGGGGAGCACTCCCTCTGCGCTTCGAAGGCTTGGCGTTGCTATCACTGAAGCCAAGGAGCCTGCATTCGCTCCATAGGATGTACACACATTTCCCCTTAATTTTTGGAGGGGGGAAAGTGTGTCCTATAGAGCGAAAAATACGGTATATCTGTTACAGAGCCCTTTGCTGTTTTGAGGGTGGGGGTTGGGGTCCTTCCAGTTGTCCTTATTGCATCTTTACAATGTCTTGTGGCTCCTGTTCTTTCCCCCCCCCCAAAAAAATTATTGATTTTCCCAAAAAGTTTTTTAGACAAGCTGTTGAGTGGAGAGCTCGATTCTGCTCAGTGCTGCTTCATCAACACACCCGGGGACCCGACTCCCTCGGGAGGTGATGGACTCTCCTTCCTTGAAGGTTTTTAAGCCTTCCTTGAAGGGGGGGGCACCTGTCATGGATGCTTTATCCGAGACTCTTGCATTGCAAGGGGTTGGACTGGATGACCCTCGGCGTCCATTCCACCTCTGTTCTGTGATTCTCATAAATTGCCTGCGGGGAACACAGGGGCCAAGCTGCGTATCTCTCACTCCTGTGGCCCTCCAGATATTGGTGGGAAACAGTTCCTATGCGTCCTGGCCATGCTAGAAAGCATTGGGAGTCCCAACAGCATCTGAGAGCCGGAAGTTCTTCCTCTCTCTTACGGAGTCGGGTCCCTGGCTGCTGGCGCCCTCTGCAGGCCACGCCAGGAGTGTTTCGATGGCTGTGTTTGTGGAAGCTTTCTGTGACTGCAAGCCATGCACTTCGCTTCTAACTGACGTGAGTCTAGCCCAACTTTCCACACCAAGTGAGCTGCAAGAGTACCTTGACACTGGAGTCCGTAGTTCGCACAGTGCCTTGTCGTGTGGGGAGCAAGGCCAAAATTTGACGGCCACCCCCAGTGGCTTCCCAAAGGTGGCTAAGTAAGGTGCAGGGCTTTGGGAAGGACTAGAACCCTGTTGGAGCCCTCATGCCTCATTCCTAAAGCCCAGGGCCTTGTTTGCCCAAGGGGGCAGGGTGTCAGATGTTGCGGAGGGCCGCCAGAAAGACCTTGAGGGCTAGAGGCTTCCCTACCCCTCCAGCCGATTTGGCGAATACCTGGGTATGCATGAACTTCTGCCCATATTTATTTATTTGTTCATGAAATCTCTACCCTGGCCTCTCCTCCCAAAGGAGCCCAGGGTGGCAAACGTCAGGATGTTGAAACCGTGCCATTTTAAATAAATAAATAACTTTCATTACGATAGGACTACTGTGTTTTTCGCTGTATAAGACACACTTTCCCGTTCTAAAAAGGAAGGGGAAATGTGTGTGCGCGTTTTATGGAGCGAATGCAGGCGGGAGGCTCTGCTCAGCGTTCCCTTTAAAGAGGCGCGTGGAGCGTGTGTGCAGCTCTTGGGGGCTTTTCCCCGAGGAGGGAGAAGGGCTGGCCATGGCAGCTCAGCAGTCCCGCTGGCTGTCCTGGCTTCTGGGATTCAGAATATTTCCCCCCCTTGTTTTCCTCTTCCAAAAACTAGGTGCGTCTTGTGGAGCAAAAAATACGGTGCTTAAATTCATCGGTTGCCTCTGTGTGTGTGTGTGTGTGTGTGTGTGTGTGTGTGTTAAACTATGGGGTAACACAAAGCAACTTAACAATAGATGAACACCGAAACTGGAAGAAAAGAAACATCTAAAAAGACGATCCTGTTTTGTTCTGTTTTTTAAAAAAGCGTGATCAAAACGTCCTACCCACCTACCCAAGGAAACCGCAGATAGCTAGGAGCCCAAGGCCTGGCAGAAAGGAAATGTTCTTTTGCCGGGCGGCTGTGTAATTACGGTGCCGGACAAGCCTCCCCAGGGAGAGCATTCCACAAGCAGGGAGCCACCACTGAAAAGGCCCGTTCTCATGTTGCCACCCTGGAGGGAATAATAATAAAAAAATAAATCTGAAAACATACTATGCCTTGTAACGTAGGCAGAGCTTTGCGGGAAGGTTTCTAAGTGTATGTTTTGATGTTTACACCTCCTCTTTTTTTCTCCTTTTCCAGAATCACGCCTTTATCAAGCGCTCCGAAGTGGAAGAGGTGGATTTCGCCGGCTGGCTGTGTAAGACGCTGCGGTTGAACCAGCCCAGCACTCCCACCCGTACTGCCATGTGACCGCCAAGCAAGCCGCCGCCTTCCCCTCTTCTCCTCCTCCTCCTCCTCCTCTCGTGCATCTTGCTTTGCTGTCGTCCGCCACCCTTCAGCAGAAGAAAAGAACCCGCCTCTCTCGGCCAGCCTCTCCTCCGCGACCTTTTCTTCTTTATTTTTGGCTCCGGAACAGCAAAGGCGCCGCAGTTCGGAAGCTGCCCGGTCATCATCCAGACAGAGCAGAAAGCAGGCTTGCTTCACCCTCTTCCTGTTCCGTTGTTCGGCTCCATCCCTCTCCCCGCAGCTGAGTGTGGATCTCTTCAGAGCTTCTGACTCTGGGCAAGGGATTGGGGAGGGGGAGCGGGTTGTGTACAGCAGCGGCGAGCTGCTTTTCCCTTTTACGTTTGTGTCACCAGTTTTGGGGGAAAGGGACAGGCTGTGCCTTCTTTCCTTTCTTTCTCTGCACTTGCTTCCTGGGTGGGGGGCCTGAGAGGCGCAGGCAGGCTTGCCAGACGGGTGCTGCAGATGGGTGGAGACACGTGGAGCAGCTTGGGCGGAAGTGGGCCGGTTGAGCAGCGTGGCAGCTTCGCCGGCCTGGGCTCGGGTCCTTCCTAGAGCCTGCGAGAGGACCGTGCGATTTTAAGGAAGTTTGTGTTTGGTGGTTGAGAAGCTAGCAGTCAATTCCTTCCCATTCTCTCCTCCTCCTCTTCCCCTCCCCACGGTTTCTGCATTCAGTTTCTTTACAAGAGAAGTTTTTAAGTTCAACTTGCCCTCTTTGTGTTTGTGGGAGAGGGAACGTCCACGGCTTCTAGGCGAACGTGGAACCGTCTTCACGTGTGTGTGTGAGTGTGTGTAATTTTTACGTACAAATGCAACACGGGCACCGACGGGTTGTATCCGGCGCTAGTCGTGCTTGGCGTAGACCCGCCTGCGTTTCGGTGGGTCTGTTCTGGGTTGGGCCTTGCTGGATGCAGCCCCACCCGTGCCCCGTGGAAATTGTGTCGTCATTATAAAATGGGGGGGGCGGGGCAGCAGTCCACACGCTGCTCCTCCAAAGACGTGACGGTTTTAAAGCCATCTCCTTCCAGTCTTAACAGAGTGCTTTATTTCTGAAATCAACGTGCACTAACTCATCAAGTGGGGGGTGGAGGTCGGTAGTCCTCTGCGGGTATTTATTGGAGAAGAACCACAGCTGCTAATTCTCGACGGCGGAGGGGGCGCAAAGGCCGCCTCTTCCTCTCCAGCGCACGCTCGGTGCGTGTTATTCCTCGGGCCTTGCAGCGGAGGCATCGCTCTCCCGATAAAGGTGCCGTCGGTTTCTGCCTTCTCGGTACTGGCGTCGCTACGTCTCTGTTTCCGAGAGTGTGTGATTTAATGGCGAAAGAGTCCTGTGCTGCAATTGGATGCTTCTCGGTGTCTTGTTGATGCTGCTGCCCTCCATAGCTCAGAGGAGCCCTCACCTCTGGAGCAGGTGAACTGGAAGAAAAGCTGTTGGCGGTGGTTAGGCTGCCTCTCTCCCCTCCTGCCCCCCCAGTCCTTCTGCTGCACCTCATCCCCAATCTTAACAGATCCTTCTTTAAACTTCCATTTCTCTCTCTTTCAAACTCCTCCCCCCTTCTTTCATTTCCAGTTAATTCCTTTACCATTATCGGCTTTTCGCTGTCCAGGTAACTGAAGGGGAGTTTATGAGCGAGACCCAATACACACTTGCCCTACAGCCCATTTTCTTTCTTTTTTAAAAAAAAAAGCATGAAAAAGGAGGGTCAGGTGCTTCAAAGTTCTCCAGCACCTCGCAGCCGATAAGGTTTTGTTCTCCTTGAATACCGGGCCCTCTGCCATTCTGGGAAGTGTGGGAACCGGCGTCCGGACGGCCAAAGTGCCCAACCCCCACCCCTTTAATTCCAGCCGGTAAGGAAGCCACAGCTGGGTGGCTGAACCAGGTGGAGTCCCCAAATCGGGTGATGTTGAAGAGGCGCTGGCCATGTTCTGTCTTTGCTTGGGTTTGCGCCTTGGGATGCAGGACTTGGTGCAGGCCAAGCGGCAGGTGGGCTGACGGACGAGTCACTCGGCCACAACGGAAGCCGGCAGCTTGCAGTGGTACCACCGCTTTCCTGTTAGCTCACCTTGCTAGGAACCCTGCAAAAAAACCCCATCTAAGGTGAAGCTGCTTTTAAAAGACACGGCTGCCTTGAGCTCTCCGACGCAAGGGATTAAGTTCTCCCCAGCCTGTCTTGGCACCTGCCTCTCGAAAGGGTGGCAGAGCCAGTGGGTATCTTGGCATCCGTGCATGGCACGACCGGCTAGCATGGTTGCCAAGTGCTTCAGGGGAGAGAAAGGCCCACCATGATGTCTCCCAACATGTTTCCCAGAGCGTCTCCATGTGGGTTGGGGAACTTTGTGGAGTGCCTACCCTTGGGGGTGGGATTTTGGAATGCCTTCCGAAAATATCCAAAGGTTATTGGGTTGCCAAGAGCAAAAGGCTCTCTCCCTCTATTGGCACTGCAACCTTAAATCCCTGGGACTCTGCAGAGATAGGGACCCAGAACAACATTTAACCACAAGTCGGAGGTGCAATTCTTGACTTTGGTGAACTGGGCTGGTTTCTTGCATTCAGGACTTAGTGGGGCAAGGTGCTTTTTCTTTCTCCCAAGCCCTTCTCAGAGAAATCCCCTACCCCACTCAAAAAGATAATAATTCACTCTTCTCTCACCGAACCCTCTCCTCATATACTCGTTTTTGCTTTCAAGAGTCTGCAAACTTCCTTCTGTTTCTCGGTGGCTTGCCTGTGAAGGATATTTGAGTATCAGTGCTTTCCATTGATTCCCACCCGATTGCAGGGCAAAGATGTGAGCTTTGCACAGAACTTTTGAGAGAGAGAAACTGAGCCCATGTGTGTCTCTTCACTGCTTTGAGATTTTCTTCTCTCCCGCAACCCCCCCCCCCCCGGACTGCTAGCATCTGATATGATCTAAAAGGGGCGGCGAACAGGACCCCCGCAAGCCGACGGAGGACTGCTGGGAAGATCACCCAGGCCAGGGGAGAGACCCTGCGCTCTTCCCCACTCCCCACTGATCCATGTTTTGCTGCTGATTGTGGATACGGAATATACTGGGTATGGAACGAAAGCAAAATAAAAACGGACTGTGCATTTTATTTCCCCTTCTAAATAGTGTAAGTGACTCGGATCGTGGATTTGAAAAGAAACACAGCGCTTGGGAGGCGTTCCACCCCACCCCTTTTAACCTCGCAGTTGCTTTTATTTGGTGTGCTTTCTAAGCGAGACTGACCACGTCGTTGCTGTCTTCGTAAAGAAGAAAGGGAGAAAGATGGGTGGATTTTCTTGTGGGGCGGAGCTTTACCGCGTGTGTTTTCTCCCCCTAGAGCAGCTGGGGGCAAACTTGCAAATTTTCGATCCTCTTTAAGCGGGCCGAAGGAAATGGGGAGAGACCCCCTTAGCAGATCTATAGGCGACATTTCTTGGGTGGGGTGGTCAAGTAGGGGGAGGCCTTTCGTAACCCAAGTTCTTTCCCCCCTCAAACTATAATTTGAAATTCATTACCGCAGCCGGATCCCTTCCACTTTGACACTGTCTGACAGCTGATTTAATCCCCCCCCTCCCATCACTCCAAGTGCAAACGTTAGTTTTATCAAATGGGGTAACTCCTGAGGAACTGAATGTACAATATTCAGTGTTTGAGTTAAAAGTTGTCAATGAACTTAGTGGGATCATGTGATCTAATTACTGTACTTGTTTTTTTTCCCATAATGCTTATATATATCTGAACAGTGAGGCTTTTGCTGGGTGTGTATGTGTGGGGGGGTGCATTTTACAGTTCAAAAAGATTTTTTGGTTATGTTTCCTTTTACGGCTTTGGTTTCTTGGGGAAGGGGGTTTAAGAATGTCTGGGCGTTTTGACGGTGCTTTTTTTTTTTTTAAGAAACTATTTTCACCATGGGGAGATGAAATAAATGGCACTTTACATTAAGAAGCCTGGTTTCCTGTGGATTTTTGTTCGCAGTGTGTGATCCGAGAGGCCAAGGAAGAGCCATCCAAATGCCTCAGTTATGCTTTGTTTTGCAAAGTTTTTCTTAGTTTATCGCCTATTAGTACAGCAAAACATGGGTAAGCACAACCCACCATTGTTAATAATAATAATAATAATATTTTTTTATTTATACCCCGCCCTTCCCAGTTCAGGAAACTGGACTCAGGGTGGCTAACAACAAATTTAAAACACTTAATTGATGCTACAAATAAAATAAAATAAAATACGATATGAAGCGTAAATAACAATAGAATCAAAAATCAATTTAGGGGGGAAATCCATCCAATAAACATTAGACGGTCACCAGGACTAGCTGGCTAAATTAGTCCCACTTGGGCCAGCGAGGAGACCAGAGGAGAATTAGCTGTGGGGTCTCAGAGCGGGTGATCTTCATAAAAAGGGGAGGGGGAGGGAAGGAATGGGAAATAAAAGATCAGGCTAAGTTCAAATTGAAACCAGGCGAAATAGTTCTGTCTTACAGGCCCTGCGGAAAGAAGTTAAATCCTGCAGGGCCCTGGTCTCCTGGGACAGAGCATTCCACCAGGTCGGAGCCACCACTGAGAAGGCCCTGGCCCTGGTGGATAATCTAACTTCCTTAGATAGCAACGAACATTAAGGCCGTAACACCAGCATACAGAAATCAGCATGCAAGAGTTAGGCAGAGTGGATCGTAAGGAAGCTTCCTTGTAATAAGTCAAACTAGCTCAGCACAGTGGAAGTCGAACGGAATCTGTTCTAGAAGTCCGTTCGACTTCCAAAACGTTCGGAAACCAAAGCGCAGCTTCCGGTTGGCTGCAGGAAGCTCCTTTTGCGAGTCCACCACACATGAAAGAAGGTTCCCTCCAACTCTTTGCATCTCCAGCATTTACCGTATTTTTCTTTCCATAAGACGCCCCCATGTATAAGACACCCCCTATTTTGTGGGACTCAAGATTTAAGATAATGGGGGGGGACACTGTCCGTGTATAAGACGTCCCTGAATTTTGGACATGATCACCATAATTTTGGTCCCCTAATTTTGGACATGATCCCCTAATTTTGGACATGATCACCAGGTGGCGCTGTGGGTAAAACCTCAGTGCCTAGGGCTTGCCGATCGTACGGTCAGCGGTTCGAATCCCCGCGGCGGGGTGAGCTCCCGTCCTTCGGTCCCAGCTCCTGCCCACCTAGCAGTTCGAAAGCACCCCTAAGTGCAAGTAGATAAATAGGTACCGCTTAATAGCGGGAAGGTAAACGGCGTTTCCGTGTGCTGCGCTGGTGCTGGCTCGCCAGAGCAGCGATGTCACGCTGGCCACGTGACCCGGAAGTGTCTCCGGACAGCGCTGGCCCCCGGCCTCTTAAGTGAGATGGGCGCACAACCCTAGAGTCGGACACGACTGGCCCGTACGGGCAGGGGTACCTTTACCTTTAATTTTGGACATTATTTTTTTAGGGGGGAAACCTAGTCTTATACATGGGAAAATACGGTATCCGATTCAGTCTTATATATCTTAGCAAGCCTGCTCTGAGTTAGATAACATCTGCGAATCATTTTCAGGTAGTTCTTCACATTCCGAATTTGTATTTCCACATCCCAATCATTTGGATGACTTGAACCAGACACAAACCAAACTAGCGACAAAGATTGACTGGAATCACCGCAGTTCCTCTTTGAGACGGGCTTCTTAAGCTCTGCTTAAACGGTGCCCCACAAGGGATTACCTCCCTGCCCTTTGGCAGTGATGCTAAGGGATTATACTATATTTTACCTCCTGTGGTACTCAATATCTACCTGACCCTTGCCAGGGGGAGGTAATGCAAAGATGTGGACTCAAGTGCCCCTCTCCTCTCCATCGGGATGTTCTGAACCAGTGCTTAGGTGTGGCAATGGACTGGATGAGGTCCACTAAGCCTAGACCAGCCTTTCTCAACCTGTGGGTCCCCAGATGTTGTGGAACTACAACTCCCATCACCCCTAGCTAGCAAGGCCAGAGCTCAGGGATGATGGGAGTTGTAGTCCAACACCACCTGGGGACCCACAGGTTGAGAAAGGCTGATCTAGAGCGTGGGTAGGCAAACTAAGGCCCGGGGGCCGGATCCAGCCCAATCGCCTTCTAAATCCGGCCCGCGGACGGTCCGGGAATCAGCGTGTTTTTACATTAGTAGAATGTGTCCTTTTATTTAAAATGCATCTCTGGGTTATTCGTGGGGCATAGGAATTTGTTCTTTTGTCTTCTTCAAAATATAGTCCGGCCCCCAACAAGGCCTGAGGGGCAGGGGACCGGCCCTCTGCTGAAAAACTTTGCTGACCCCTGGACTAGCCTCAATCCAGGCAAGATGAAGACGCTGCAGCTGACGGATTCTTCATGAGCACAGATGATTATATATTCACCTTTCTTTTGACAAATGGAAAATAAAAAAGGTAAAGGTACCCCTGCCCGTACGGGCCAGTCTTGACAGACTCTAGGGTTGTGCGCCCATCTCACTTAAGAGGCCGGGGGCCAGCGCTGTCCGCAGACACTTCCGGGTCACGTGGCCAGCGTGACAAAGCTGCATCTGGCGAGCCAGTGCAGCACACGGAAACACCGTTTACCTTCCTGCTGGTAAGCGGTCCCTATTTATCTACTTGCACCCGGGGGTGCTTTCGAACTGCTAGGTTGGCAGGCGCTGGGACCGAGCAACGGGAGCGCACCCCGCCGCGGGGATTCGAACCGCCGACCATGCGATCGGCAAGTCCTAGGCGCTGAGGTTTTACCCACAGCGCCACCCGTGTCCAAATGGAAAATGCCTCACTTCAATAAAGAATGGAGGGGGGGGGAATTATAATTTATAATTTACTGTAAATACTCTGGTCCAGTGGATCGCAAAGAGGCAGACATGACTAAACAACAGCAACAATTTACGGGACCGCCTCTCCTGGTCTGCCCCGCAGAGGACCTTAAGGTCCATGAATAACCATAGTTTAGAAGTCCGAAGCCCTAAGGAAGTTAGATTATCCTCCGCCAGGGCCTTTTCAGTGGTGGCTCCGACCTGGTGGAACGCTCTGTTCCATGAGACCAGGGCCCTGCAGGATTTAACCTTCTTCCGTCAGGCCTGTAAGACAGAGCTATTCCGCCTGGACTTTAATTTGAATTCTGCCTGATTTTTTATTCCCCTTCCCTTCCCTTCCTTCCCCTTCCCCTTTTATGAAGATCACCCGCTCTGAGACCCCACAGCTCACTCTCCCCTGGCCTCCTGGCTGGCCCAAGTAGGACCAATTCAGCCAGCTAGCCCTGGGGATTATCTAATTGATTTTTGAATGTTATTGTTATTCATGTTTTTATACTTATTTTATGCTGCTTTTATAATTAAGTGTTTTAAAGTGTTTTAAATTTGTTGTTAGCCGCCCTGAGCCCGGTTTTTGAACCGGGAAGGGTGGAGTATAAATAATAATAATAATTATTATTATTATTATTATCATCATCATCATTATTATTATGGCCCTCGGGGTCCCTTCTAACTATGGTTGTTTGTTGTTTTTTGCATTTTGTTAATTTTTATTGGTTTCTCACACAATTACATTCAAAAAAAGAAAAGAACATCTTTTAACGTTTCTTACTTACATTCTGTAATTATATGTCCATATATCACTGCCCCCCCCCCCTTTACAACCCTGTGACTTCCCTCCACCCGTGCTTGGCATTATTTAATTAATTAAATATTCTTTTAATATTGTGTTAAAGCAATATAATTTATATAAAAACCCGTAAAATCTTTCCCAACTTTTATCCTTCTTGGTAGTGGCACCCGCCCTGTGGAACGCCCTCCCACCAGATGTCAAAGAGAAAAACAACTACCAGACTTTTAGAAGACATCTGAAGGCAGCCCTGTTTAGGGAAGCTTTTAATGTTTGACGGACTATTGTATTTTAATATTTTGTTGGAAGCTGCCCAGAGCGGCTGGGGAAACCCAGTCAGATGGGCAGGTAAATAATTATAATAATAATAATAATAATAATAAACATCATTATCATTATTATCATCCTAACTTTGCAAACGTCAGTCTAAGCATCAACAACAACAACATTATCATTATTATCATCCTAACTTTGCAAACATCAGTCTAAGCATATCAATAAGTTTATTTTGGAACAATGTTTTGCCATATACTCCTCTACACATTCCCATTCTTTTCTTAGTTTTTGATTAGATTGTAATCTGATTGCTGCCGTCATCTTGGCCAATTCAATAAATTCACAAAAGTTAATTTGCCAATCTGCCACTGTAGGGACTGTATCTCCCTTCCAGTTTTTCGCCACTAAGATCCTAGCAGCAGCCATCGCATATAGGAATTATTTTTTTCTTATCAATGGGGATGTCTTTTGTCATTATGTATATCGGTATGTAAGGGACGCGGGTGGCGCTGTGGGTAAAAGCCTCAGCGCCTAGGGCTTGCCGATCGAAAGGTCGGCGGTTCGAATCCCCGTGGCGGGGTGCGCTCCCGTCGCTCGGTCCCAACACCTGCCAACCTAGCAGTTCGAAAGCACCCGCGGGTGCAAGTAGATAAATAGGGACCGCTTACTAGCGGGAAGGTAAACGGCGTTTCCGTGTGCGGCTCTGGCTTGCCAGAGCAGCGATGTCACGCTAGCCACGTGACCCGGAAGTGTCTCCGGACAGCGCTGGCCCCCGGCCTCTTGAGTGAGATGGGCGCACAACCCTAGAGTCTGTCAAGACTGGCCCGTACGGGCAGGGGTACCTTTACCTTTATATTGGTATGTAACGAATGAAGCTTTGCATTGTTAAAGTAAGAGAAAAATGGTGCAAAAGTAATAAAGATAAGAGGTAATTACATTGGACACAACAATTTAGAAAGAGTAAAAATTTCGAGGTCTTAGAACAAAGGAAGTCAATATGTGTATACATACGTAACGATCAGAATGATGATATAGATTTATTTGTAAATGTGTGTTTTTGTTTTGTTCGTTTTTCTTTTTTTCTAGTGTTTTGTTTTGCTTGTTTGTACTGCTTTATTTTGGATTCAATGTTTGTAATTTTTGTTGCAATTTTGCATTGAAAATAATAAATTTTAAAAGGGGGGGGCTGCATGCCCTGTCCATTTTGCTACCTGGGCAGGTAAGGTCACGCCCACCTCTAGTCACATGCAAAAGGATGTATGTCCCAGCTAGAAGGAAACAGGAAGTTCTCGACTGGCTGGACCAAACATTCCCCGCATGGCCACTCTAGGAAAACAAGGAATGTTGTCCTTGACTGCTACTTATGTATGACATCCCACAGATTCATGGAGTTGGAAGGGACCACGGCGGTCATCTAGCCCAACCCCTTGCAATGCAGGAATCTTTTGCCTAGTGTGGGGCTTGAACTCTGAGATTGAGAGTCTCGTGCTCTGCTGACATCTTTGATCACTCATAGCTGAGTAAGATTGTCTTCCTTAAACATGGTTTTAACAGTGAGTCCATAAGTGACTGTGGAGGCCAATTCTGGATCCACACGTCCTTCCACGGTGGGGACATTGGTTCCCAGGTGGGAGTTGATCACGGTGTGGATTTGCCAATCTTAGCACGTTTCTCCCTTGCGTTCTGAGTTCAAGTGTCTTCAAAGCCCATGACACCTTTGGTAAAGGCTGTTCTCCAACTGGAGCGCTCGCAGGCCAGTGTTTCCCAGTTGTTACTGTTTATGCTACATTTTTTAGATTTGCCTTGAGACAGACTTTAAACCTCTTTTGTTGACAACTAGCATTACGCTTTCCATTCTTAAGTTTGGAATAGAGGAGTTGCTTTGGAAGACGATAATCAGGCATCCGAACGACATGGCCAGTCCAACAAAGTTGATGTTGAAGAATCATTGCTATGACACGGGTGATCTTTGCTTCTTCCAGTACACTGGCATTAGTTCGCCTGTCTTCCCAAGTGATGTGTAAAAATTTTCATAAACATCAAACATTAAAAAACTTCCCTATTTATTGCTGCTTTACTATATTTTATCCATACTATCATAAGGTAAAGGGGCCCCTGACCATTAGGTCCAGTCGTGACCGCCGGAGTGGTACCTATTTATCTACTTGCACTTTGACGTGCTTTCAAACTGCTAGGTTGGCAGGAGCAGGGATAGCTCAGCCTTAAAACATCGCACTTACACAAATGCAATAAATAAATCATATGAACGGTTCCTTTGTTATTCACCAATCATTAATTTATTATAGTTCAATACCAAAAAATACGTCAAACATGAAAATGCGCTTAACACGAAACTAAAAAAAAAAAACAACTGTTGGGGAAAATGCATTGGTCACCCTCTGGCAACAGTCATAATAATAGTTTATTTTGTTATAACCATTTATTTAAAAGTAACAGTATTTATGCTGGCTGCTTGCCAACACAGGCCTTTGGATGATATAGATAACACAAAACATTATCATTATCATTATTATTATTTTAAAAAACACACAACCTAGACTGATTACAGTCTAAACTTAATACCCAGCCCAGTGGCTGATGTTGCCCAAGATGACATTAAAAAGCACTGGAGGAAGAGGAGGGTTTCCCACAGCTGACTAGGGATTTAAGCTTGCATCTCCGGCGTGCTGTGAGGTCCTAAAGCTTGCACCACTACTATCATAGGTAAAGGGACCCCTGACCATTAGGTCCAGTCGTGGCCGACTCTGGGGTTGCGGCGCTCATCTCGCTTTATTGGCCGAGGAAGCCGGTGTCCAGCTTCCGGGTCATGTGGCCAGCATGACTAAGCCGCTTCTGGCAAACCAGAGCAGCGCACAGAAATGCCGTTTACCTTCCCACCAGAGTGGTACCTATTTATCTACTTGCACTTTGATGTGCTTTTGAACTGCTAGGTTGGCAGGAGCAGGGACCGAGGAACAGGAGCTCACCCCGTTGCGGGGATTCGAACCGCCGACCTTCTGATCGGCAAGTCCTAGGCTCTGTGGTTTAACCCACAGCGCCACCCGCGCTAAAGCTTGCACCACTACCATCATAAATAAAGCAAAATGTCCCTGGCTCCTTGGCTCACCAGCAGCATGAACCCAAGGCTGAGCTCAGCGATGGGCGTCTTGTTGGTGAAATCAAATTGCACACTAGAACGGTCAGACCAATATTTATGTATGCAGCTACGGCGGCAAGGTTATTGATTGCCAAAAATTGGAAAAGCAGCAGTGTCCCAGCTAAAACAGACTGGTTATCTAAAATGATGGAGTACAATAAATAAAGAAAATAAAATGATGGACTACTTCCATATTGCCAAACTAACAGGGAGGATAAGAGGAGATACGGTACAAAAAGTGAATAAGGAGTGGGCTATCTTTAAGGAACACATCAAAATTTATGTGGGAAAAGTAGAATTTCTGACAGATATTGCGTGAATCCAGAAAATGATTAGAGTGAAAGGAGAGTAAAGTCAAGATAGAAGAAGAGATTAAAGAAATAATGAAGCTAGTTGGAAAAATAAAGTAGCGTAACAAGAACAGCTGGAAGTCAAGTTGGTGGGTGTTCATGTGGGGTAGGTGTGTTGGTATATTAATATGTATAGTATAAAAAGGTAAAGGGACCCCTGACCATGAGGTCCAGTCGTGACCAACTCTGGGGTTGCGGCGCTCATCTCGCTTTATTGGCCAAGGGAGCCGGCGTACAGCTTCTGGGTCATGTGGCCAGCAGGACTAAGCCTCTTCTGGCGAACCAGAGCAGCGCACGGAAACGCCGTTTACCTTCCCGCCAGAGCGGTACCTATTTATCTACTTGCACTTTTGACGTGCTTTCGAACTGCTAGGTGGGCAGGAGCAGAGACCGAGGAACAGGAGCTCACCCCGTCGCGGGGATTCAAACCGCCAACCTTCTGATCAGCAAGTCCTAGGCTCTGCGGTTTAACCCACAGTGCCACCTGTGTCCCATGTATAGTATAGGTAGGTATTATATAGGAGTGATGTATGTTTTATTTTATGAAAATAAGGTAGTGTGTTGTGTACGTGTATTGTGTAAATGTATATGTACAGTGGTACCTCAGGTTACATACGCTTCAGGTTACATACGCTTCAGGTTACAGACTCCGCTAACCCAGAAATAGTGCTTCAGGTTAAGAACTTTGCTTCAGGATGAGAACAGAAATCGTGCGGCGGCAGCAGGAGGCCCCATTAGTTAAACTGGTGCTTCAGGTTAAGAACAGTTTCAGGTTAAGTACGGACCTCCGGAACGAATTAAGTACTTAACCCGAGGTACCACTGTATGTGTTTTATATGTTAATAAAATAAAATAAAAATTAAAAAAAGAAATCAAATTGGACACTAGTCAAACAGGAGGGAACCCCTCTGCAGAGGACCCGGAGTGCTGTGAGGTCCTAAAGCTTGCATCATCATCAACATCATTCGCAAAGCAAAAAATAAAAAAGTCCCGACTCTCCCCAACCAACTCTTTCCAAAAAGGTTTTATTTTTCCCCTCCCTTTTTAAATAAGGAAACGCACCTATGCTTTGCAAACGCTTTCCTCGCAGCTTGCATCGCCGGCGTGCTGTGCGGTCCTAAAGCTTGCATCATTATCATCAACATCATTTGCAAAGCAATGAAATAAAAAAAATAAAAAGCCCCGACTCTCCCCACCAACTCTTTCCAAAAGGATTTTATTTTTCCCCTCCCTTTTTAAATAAGGAAACGCACCTGTCTTCTCCAGGCTGGCTTTGCATTGCATTGCAGGGTTCCCTTTGCACCTCCCCGGCTTGCAAACGCTTGGCTGGCCGCGTTGCTGGGTTAGATAACATGGGCTTAGCTGGGAGGAGAAGGGTCGCTCCGTCGCCTGGGTGGGGTCGCAGAAGGCAGCAATTGCAGGCTGCAAAAAATAAAAATATAGCGAAAAACCACAGGGCCGTTGCCCGCTTGCAACAGGAGCGTGCCCTTGGCAAGATGCAAGCCAGCCCAAGGGTGAGACGTGGCAGCAAGCGAGCAAGCAAGCAAGCCTGGGGGGTGGGGGTTTGCCTTGAATGCTCCCTCTCTCTTTTATTTTATTTTTTTCTCCACCCTCCCACCCCCCTGTGCCTTTGCCAGTTGCAATCTCCCTTCTCCTTCCTCCTCCTCCTTTGCAAAAAATAATAATAATAATAATAAAGTCTCCCTTGCAAAAAGCAACCAAGACTCGCCCAGCCAGTTTGCAAAAAGCCTCATGCCAGTTTGCAAAAAAGGGAAAAGCTTGCCAAAGAGAAAGAAAGTCCCCCCCCCCCAGCGCAGTTGCTGCACCTTTAAGAAAAGGGAGGGACCCCTGTCCTTTTTCTGCTTTTTTTTTTCCCTCCCCTACCCTGAGAGCAAACCAGGAAGGGAGTTCACGGCATCATACGGGGCTTTGCATCTACTGTTACAGTAGGGGCAGGAACAGCAGAGAGGAGAGGAGAGGAGAGAGAGGGAGAGGAAAAGAGAGAGAAAAGGAGGGAGGCAGGCAGGCCGGACGGGCAGAAGCTGCTCAGGAATTGACTCCACAAACTCCAGGCGCCCCCCCTTTCCTCCTCCTCTTCCTGCCCCCCCCCCACACCTTCAGGACCAACAAGGTAAGACCTCTGGATCTTTCTCTTTTGGGGGGGTTTTTTGCTGGCCAAGGGATCTGATCCCCTTAAAAAGAGAGATCTCTCCGCTGTCATCTTTTCCTGCTTCCACTTCTTGCCTTTGCAACTTTCACCCAGGGGATCTTGGAAGGGGGGGGGGGTCAACAACTTTGCCTTAAGTGAGAGGAGGTTGCTGGGGAAGGGGAGGGGTTTTTTTGGGTGGGGGGGTTGTTTTGTGTGTGTGTGGTTTTTTTGGGGCAGGGGAGAGATGTTCAGTGGGGTGGGGGAGGAAGCTGGGAGTGGGGAAGGGGGTGTTTGAAGTGGGTGGGGGGAGGGAAAGCAGCCTTGAAGGTGAAAGGAGAGCCTGAAGTCAAGGGTGCTGGGGGGGGCTGTGTTTGTTTTGCATGGGGGGGGCGCAAGTGCAATTGCACGAGATGCAAGCTGTATAGGGCACGTTGCAATCTGGAAATATTTGCCTTTTCTGTGTGATACATCCGCCTTTGCAATTAATTGCCCCTTGGCATTGGGGAACTGCAGGGGCTGGTTTCTGTGGGGGGGGGAAGGTTGCAATTAAGTGCAAAGGGGAAGCTGGAAATAACTTTCCCCCTCCTTTCCTCCTCCTCCTTCCTGCCAAAGACCCTATTCTGTGCTGCGTTGCATACGTTGTACTCTTAAGGCAGGATATATCTCTGTGTGTGTGTTTTTTTAAGGGAGGGGGCTTTTGCAAAGCCCCAGGGAGGACAAGTGCCTCGGCTCCCTGGGAATTGTAGTCTTTCCCCCGCGCTCCGGCCTGCAGGTGCAATGGAGGCGGGGACTACGTCTCCCGAGGTGCTCAGCGCCGGGGCCTTGCCTCGGCCTTCCGCGTGAGGCTGGCTGACGGGCGGCCGCGGCGGCCAATGGCCGCTTCCTCTCCCCACCAGCGGCCGCCGCGGCCAATGGCGGACCGAGGGAGGGAGGGAACGAGGGGGAAGGGAAGGGAAAGCGGCTAAGGGCTCGAGCCAGCCCTGCCCCTGGGGGGGAGAGGTGGGGTCCGCGGGCGCGGCGACCAGGAAAGGCCGGGGATTTGAGGCCTAGTACAAGGCCCCGGGCGGGGCTCGCCTGCCTCCCCAGCTTCCCTAATGGGGGCTGTGAAGGGTACAGAGGGGGCAACTGAGGCGCTGGTCCCCTCCTCACCCTTCTGAGGGGGGATTTGAGGAGGGGGCTGCTGTTGTATGGAAACTGGGGGCAAATATTTTGGGGGTTTTTGGGGGGAGCTTCTGATACTTAGAGGGGTGAATGTGGTGATGGTTTTCAGGGTTTTGAAAGGTTTTAAGGTTCAAAAACGGGGGGTGGGAGCATGAAAATAGTTCCAAATAGTTGTAGCATATTTGTTAATATATTATTATTATTATTATTATTATTTTAATTAGACTTGCTAGTCGCTTGCTGCTCAAAGGCCTTCAGGTGACTCGCAACCTGTTCAAAATAAGACACATCATAACTTTTCTTAAAATTAAAGAAAGTCATGCCCAAACCACCTACCATTCTATCTGTCTATCTATCTATCTATCTATCTATCTATCTATCTATCTATCTCCTATATATGCATATAGGTTTGGCTCCTACGGAGCTTGCGAGCCAATGCGGCCCCGAGTTCGGATTTCTACTTTTGGCCTATGGACTTGCTTAAGTGCATTGGGGCGACGGCAGTCCTGTGTTATAGGGTTTTAAATTGTTCCTATGCAAGTATTTTAAATGGTGGGATTTCTCTATAAAGGTTTCCAGAACAACCACAACAAAACTACTGACGGGGGAGGCTTTATCAATTAAATAGGTTCATTATTATTATTATTTGGCTCGGTTGGTAGAGCAAGAGACTCTTAATCTCAGGGGCAACCACAAAAGATTCCTGCATTTGCAGGGGTTGGACTAGATGCCTCCCGGGGTCCCTTCCAACTCTGCGGTTTAATGATCCGATATGCCGTTCTCCCATAAGTGGGGCGGTTTTTACGGTCGTATAAAAGCATTAAAAGACACATTAAAAGCTGCACATGCAGATGTTACAAGTGAGATGCTACCTGAGAAAATTTGGAAACGCTAAATAGCAGGTTTCTGGTTGAGGCTGTTTGGTGCTCCTCTGTGGCGCAGGGGAACACGAATCCCAATTTCATTGATTAGGCTGGTAAGTAATAGTAAGGTTGCCACATGAATCCCTGAAAGAAAGGGATTTGTTTGGGCAGCAGGTGAGGAAACAGCATGTTTGCTTGCATTGGGATGTTAGTATTGTATTGGTCTTTTTTAATTTCCTTTTAAAAATTAGCCTACCGAGGCAGGCTACAGATCACTCAATGAAAATTTGGAGGAATCACCAATGTCCTGAGTTTGAACTTGGAGGACAGAAGCTACAAAGAGATCCCAGTGTGGCCACTGGCTGTTGTCAAGGTAGCTGAAAGGATGTGTACAGAAACCTGTGATTGCTTAAAAGGTGCTTTATAGGAGGGTGGATGTGAAAGACCCTTGTTCAACTCGGTTGTTGTTGTCGTTTAGTCGTGTCCAACTCTTCGTGACCCCATGGACCAGAGCACACCAGGCACTCCTGTCTTCCACTGCCTCCTGCAGTTTGGTCAAACTCATGTTGGTAGCTTCGAGAACACTGTCCCACCATCTCGTCCTCTGTCATCCCCTTCTCCTTGCGCCCTCCATCTTTCCCAACATCAGGGTCTTTTCCAGGGAGTCTTCTCTTCTCATGAGGTGGCCAAAGTCTTGGAGCCTCAGCTTCAGGATCTGTCCTTCCAGTGAGCACTCAGGGCTGGGTTCCTTCAGAATGGAGAGGTTTGATCTTCTTGCAGTCCATGGGACTCTCCAGAGTCTCCTCCAGCACCAGAATTCAAAAGCATCAATTCTTCGGCGTTGTTCAACTCACACCTGCTTTCTTATTATTATTATTGCTATTATTATTATTACATTTATATACCACCTTTATCTTCAGAAGGTTTCAAGGCGGTGGACATGGTCGTCCTCCCCATCTCATCCTCACAATGACCCTGTGAGGTAGGTCAGGCTAAGAGATGGCGACTGACTCCAAGGTCACCCATTGGCTCTCGGCTCTCTTCACGATATTCACTTGAGGTGAATATTGCTGGCCGGCCTAAAAGGGTTGTTCGTAAGGATGAATGAGAAGAGGGGAGGGATTTTAATGCCTCCAGAGCAATGTTTATCATTAGGTAAAGGTAAAGGGACCCCTGACCATTTGGTCCAGTTGTGGCCAACTCTGGGGTTGCGGCCCTCATCTCACTTTACTGGCAGAGGGAGCCGGCGTACAGCTTCCGGGTCATGTGGCCAGCAGGACTAAGCCGCTTCTGGAGAACCAGAGCAGCGCACGGAAACACTGTTTACCTTACCGCCAGAGCAGTACCTATTTTACTTGCACTGTGACGTGCTTTCAAACTGCTAGGTTGGCAGGAGCTGGGACCGAGCATCGGGAGCTCACCCCGTCATTGTGGGGATTCGAACCGCCGACCTTCCCATCGGCAAGTCCTAGGCTCTGTGGTTTAACCCACAGCGCCACCCGCGTCCCATGTTTATCATTATGAGGTGGGAAAATGGTACTTGAGAGGTGCAGAAAAGAACACAGGAGATTGCATTATGCACAGTTAGACCGTTGGTAATGTGTCTGTTGTCACTCTCCAGGGCTTCAAAGGCTCTCTTACCTAGAAATCTTCCCTAGAAACAAAAGTGAGATCCCTGCCCTAAACCATTCTCCACAGGGGCCTGTCTTCGAAAGAGATGCATGAAAAAGAGCCTTGCACTGAGTTCACCCTGCTCAGTTTTGTCTGCGCTGATGGAAAGCGCTCTCCAGGCCTTCTGACCTCCACCTCTTTCTCCCGGGGATTCAGTCTGTGGTTATAAGGCGTCCAAGGAAGCAGGTTGATCAGGCTGTAAGAAGCAGCCTGGACCTGATGTTTGGGAAGACTTCCCTAGCCGTGGACTTTGCTTTTGGTTTTTATTTTAGAAATGTGCACTGGGCGTTTTTGGTCTCTCTTTCTTCGAGAAACGTGCATTAAGGTAGAAGTGGACAACGTGCCGTCTAAAATGTGCTGGACTGTCTCGCCCATCGTCCCTGGCGTTGATGAGCTCCCGACAAGCTCCTCACCCTCGCTTGCTGAGGAAACCGTGGGGCTGGCTGGCGTAGCGGACTGCAGTAGCCCCAAAGGCTTAGCCTAGGGTGGCTGATGAGACGGAAGACGCAGACCACAAGCCTGGGTTTTGGGGGCTTGTAAATAGCCACGCACCGTTCCTTTGCGATGGAGAAAGAGTCTTCTGTTACCAGGGGAGATCCGAAAACTGGAAAAGTAGCTGGTTCTTTCTAACGGCGTTAGAAAGTACCGCATTTTTCGCTCTATAAGACGCACCAGACCACAAGACGCACCTAGTTTTTGGAGTCGGAAAACAAGAAGAAAAATATTCTGAATCTCAGAAGCCAGAACAGCAAGAGGGATCGCTGCGCAGTAAAAGCAGCAATCCCTCTTGCTGTTCTGGCTTCTGGGATAGCTGCGCAGCCTGCATTTCCTCCATAAGACGCACACACATTTCCCCTTACTTTTTAGGAGGGAAAAGGTGAGTCTTATAGAGCAAAAAATACGGTATATCCCTGGTCACTTTTATTTCCAAAGCCGGCCTAGATTCTCCCTGGCTCCCTTTTGCAGCGTCAGATGCAACACCTACACAAGTCCCGAATTCCTGCTAGCTGGGAATGTGGAGGGCCTCTGGCCCTTTTGAGTAGGTGTCGGGGACTGTTTGGCGGAAGCTTGGAAATCTTCCCACGTGGCAGTTTTGATGGCAGCTTGCAGGGCTTGAGCGGAGGGCAGTGACTCAGGGTTAGAAGACTCGGATGTAGAAGCTAGGTGCCAAATGGCTCCTTAAACCAAGGTTACAGTCGTCAGGTTTGCCATCTTTGGGAAAGATGGCTCTGAAGTCTTTATTTGTTCAAGTGATGGATGGACTGTGATTGATTCTCACTTAAAATG